GAAAATGTAAGTACGTCTTTCTCACATATATCTAGTATTAACTTACCTTCAGGGAGCAAAAACGCAGCATTCCATGTGAGTCCTCGTCTGGCTTTTGGATCGCCAACAATAAATTCTCGAGGAAAATGTCTTGTTCACGCTCTATAATTATTATAAGCCTTCTCGACACTGAGGCTATTTAGTAAAGGATTGCGAACTTTTTCTAGCCATTGTTTCATTTTTTCGGCATCTTTTGGAAACCGGAAATAGCTGCTGTATTTGTCGCCGCACCCCGGAACACAGTATTTCTGATGCTTTTCAATTAACAAACTGGGAGAAGACATTTTGAGATAATAATTATTGATAATTGATAGGTAATTGATAATTCTAAATGTTGGGAGAAATTCAAAATTTAAATTTTGACGACTGGAAATGACAAAATAAACTTCAAATCTTGGCGCACGGTCCGGCAGGAAAAAGAAAACTTTAATAGGTTGATTGAAGCGCCTCTAGTGATTGGAGGGGAAAGCTGAAACGACTAGACTGACGTCTCTCATAAGACTTACATTTCTAAGGGGGGATGTTTTGTGGTGACAAGGGCCGGTATTTCAAAGTCACCTTAAGGCCGCGTTAATGGCCGCCATGTTTAAATTTAGTTTTTGAAAATGACGACTGCTTCATTCTACACATAGGGTTCAATAATTTATTATTTGTCCAAAACAAAATCTGTTTGTCGGTGAAACACTTAGTGACAGAGAAAGACAAATATACAATTATGATGCTCCCAATGTAGCTTTTTTGCCGTGGCGCCATCTACTTGAATTTGCTTGAACTGTTTTCACCTTCAAAATTCGTTTTAAGGTCATCTCAAAAAATCCCCAATAATTTCCAAAATCCTTTGGCATAAACATTATTTGATATATTATCTACAATCTCTACAAGAAGCATTTTTTAGTTTTTCGTGATTATCAATAAAATATGCTTTTCACGGATCCAAGCTTGATAAATATGCAAATATGCAACCACCAACACATTTAGTTGTTTTGGTGGTTGCGAACATGATTTTTGAATTTAGAAAAAAAGGCTGAATATCAAAGAACCAAAATAAGGAATTGTAGATAATCGATCAAATAATGTTTATGCCAAATTTGAGCCAATTCTGATGTGCCGTTTTTTTAAAGACCTCCAAACAAGTTTCGAAAAATCAACCAATCACAGTTTAAACATGGCGGCCATAAACGCGGCCTTAAGGACAAGGTACAGAATAACGTTAAGTCATCCTTAAATACAAGTTTTGCCGTTCATCAAAGTTCCCTTAATTCAAGGTGGATCTTAAAAGCCCCCCAAAAGGGACTGATTTCAAGTTCACCTTAACGTTAATGGCACTTTAGCTGAGTCCTAATTTTAATGTAACATTGATGAAATATAATGGCCCTAACACTTCCGGTTATATGATGCTACAGAATCTTTCAGAATAACTTTATTTTGTGATACTAGTTTGGTCGGCTGTAAAAATATGATTTATGTTTCCAATTCTGTTACTAACTTCAATTTGTATCTTCCCATGGGTAGTAAATTTGTGGAATTTAACAAAATTGAAAATTAAAAATTAAAATTTGCAGATACAATTATCAAAAATTGTGAGTGCAATGTACCGTAATATATTTGAATTTATTATACAGGGTGTCCCAGCCGAGAGTGACCCATTTTAAATGCTTATAACTTTTAAACCAGGTGAGCTAACTACCTGCGGTTTGTGCCATTCGATTTCTCTTAGTCTAAAGTTTTTTCTAGTAGGTTTCAAATTTTTTTAAAACTTATACAGGGCAAGTAAAAAAAAATCCGTTTTTCAACACCGAAATTCTCCACTATTTTCAATGGAACGCAACGTCAAAAAATAGATTCATGTTTAAGGTATCCATGTACCAATAGACATCGTCCCTAAAACTTGAAGTTTTAGCCGTAAAAAATCAAACTCGAAATCTTGGTATTTTTGCAAACACCTATTTTCAAAGCTTCAACCTTATGTTTGCCTAATAAAAAGTTAATAACAACTGCATAAAACTATACAAAAAGCTGTAGGTACCTATATGTATATGTTAGCCATTTTGTTCCAGGCATTTGTGGATCAATAAATGGTTGAATGAAGTGTGTAACATTTCCTGGAGAATCGCTTCAATGACATTACAAATGTTCCACTTAAGATCTTTCAGGCTATTTTAACAAAGTATTGCCGCATCTTTCCTTGACATAACGCCAGAGAAAAGAGTTTAGAACTCTCGTCTGAGAGTGAGGTGTCCATTCTATAGGCCAGCGGCCAGCTCTCCTTATCCCTCTTTCCCCAAATGTCATATCTAGTGATTCCCTTGCTATTAATGAATAATCAGGTGGGGGCATCATCCTGCTGAAAATAGATATCATTCAAGATAACCTCCTGTCTCAACTATGGGAAAAAGAACATATCAGTGTATACAGCTTCTGTTATTGTTGGTTCATCAATGAAAATGGTCTGTATTTTTTCTCAATAGAGATTGCACACCAAACTGTTACTGTTGGGGTATCTCTATTTAATGAGTTCCAGAAAAAATACATTGGCACTCGTTAAATCTTGGAAAATGTATCTCAACTTAATTGATATCTAACTAGACAGTTACAAAATTATTTGCCATAGTAATATCAAGTTCCTACAACATGAAGTTGCATGCGTTTGCAAAAATACCAAGATTTCGATTTTGATTTTTTTTCGGCTAAAACTTCAAGTTTTAGGGACGATGTCTATTGGTACATGGAAACCTTAAACATTAATCTTTTTTTTTTGACGTTGTGATATACAGGGTGTTCCATTAGAAATAGTGGAGAATTTCGATGTTGAAAAACGGATTTTTTTTTACTCGCCCTGTATAAGTTTAAAAAAATTTGAAACCTACTGGAAAAAACTTTAGACCAAGAGAAATCGAATGGCACAAACCGCAGGCAGCTAGCTCACCTGGTTTAAAAGTTATAAGCATTTAAAATGGGTCACTCTCGGCTGGGACACTCTGTATTCCAAAATATTTTTTCAAATTAATTAAAAAAAAAAAAAAAAATGGGTAGGTTGCTTAGTAAAATTAATTTTAATTTAATTAACATGTTAAATTCAACGTAACCATAACAATAATTAAGCTTAATAAATATGTTTTCCTACAGCCGTGCGGAAAAATCGATTTTCCGCACTGATATGCGTGCGGAAAATGAGTTTTCCCGCACGGTGCGGTAAAACTTTTTTTTTTGACATATCAGTGCGGAAAAAGTTTTTCCGCACGGCCGCCAGTGCGGAAAAAATTTTACCGCACCGATATGTCAAAAAAAAAAAGAAAAATTTTACATTTTTTCGCCTGTAGGAAAAATATTGTACCTAACACTTGCGGAAAATATTTTTTCTCCGCTACGCGTCGTTCGGTGAACGGCAGCCGCGTGCGGAAAAATTCATTTTCCGCACTTGTTAGGTAAATAGCTATTTCGCAGTAACTTTTTTTTCGGGTTTGGTCCAACAAAAATATTGGCTGCTGGTTGTAAGAAATGGCTTTACATCTAAGGTACCTGTCCCAAATAAGGCCATGTTAAGAAATTTTATTTTTTCTGAACACTATCCACCAAAGCCGACAAAATTCACGAGCTTATATGTGAAGTGTTTCGCTTCTATTACTTGAATATTAACCCCAATTTATTTATTTTTACATATAAGTGGTGGTTTTTGCGTAAAACAAAGACCCTTGCCATTGGCCTTATTTGTACCACTATGCTCCTAATAAGGCCATCAATAAAAAATGTTTAAAATAAATAGAATAATTTATGAAAATATTATTTTTTGACAAAAAGTTCTCAAAATAGAACTTCAACGTTTGCTGCATTCTAAAAAAACAATAATTTCAAGTCCTGGGATGGTGATCCAAATAGGTCTACATACAACTAGGACAACTGAACCGCAGCTTTTCTTGCTTGGTTAGACTCCAGGCGCTCTAAAACACATCACTTAAGTTATAATATGACACATTCTTTTAAAAAAACACTGTGATGTGATGCCAATTGGAAATTTTTCATGTGGCCTTATCAGGAACATGTTACATTGATGAAGAAAAGTCTGTAACTAGAAATCTAGAAAAGATATTATTCTGTACTTACTCTGTGGCTTTCTCAATACATAAATGTCCGTGTAAAAATTAAATTCGCTCCATTCCCTTTATGAACATGGTGTATAAACTAATTAAGTTCTAGCCTCAAAGTTATAACGTGACATATGAAATATGTGGTTGGCCATTTTTCGACATATAACGAGTTGCTACGAATCCTTGCAATAATTTTTGATTTGCATTATAGATATCTTTTTAAATAATATTGTAATTTTTGAAGATGGGATTCAATATTAAGCAATAAGGGGCACTGGCCTTATTAAGTACATGGCCTTATTTGGGTCAGGTACTTTATATTTAAACTATACCTACCCCAAATATATCTGGTACCTAGTTGGGCTTCAATTATTATTCCCTGAAGAACCTCTGGTGCTTTTCTCGAAATAGCGGTAACATTTTGTTATCTCCTATTTCCCTTATTTTCTCTTGAGAAATTATTTTGGACATCTTAAATATGAAATAAATTTGACAATGCCGAATTCTGAAAAATGTCAATGGATTTTGCAGGTATGCAGAATAGTAAGGTATGGTTTATATATTGCACTATTAAAAATTATATTGACAAATGTGTCAAATTTGATTCGCCAGATAGGCCAGAGAATTTTAATACTGCGACACTTACGAAATTATGTGAAACACACTTAAAACTGTCTGGAATTTGACATGTACTGTCATTATTATACGAGGGTCAACCTGCCAAATTTCCATGGATAATGCTACGCCAATAATATCTGAAAGGCAATACCACTTTAATAATATTGTCGTTAAGGCTTCCTAATGTTCGTTCTAAACGGCCATTAAACCGTATTCTATGGTACCAGTGACAATGCGGGTAAGACTTTCCCGTCAAACTTAATGTCAAACTTCATACCAAATTTCCGTAGCTTTAAGACAGTATGGTAAAAATATCAATAATGATCTAAAGAAAATTCCGCGGCAAATTCATTTCAAGGGGTAATTTAGCTATATGGGCGAGAAAAATAAATTACGAGTCAAGAAAAAGTGATAAATGGCTGCCAGACTCAGCCCCAGAAATTCGGAAGTGAACGCATTGGAACAGAGGGGTTATTTGATTGGCAAGAAAATTGGTCAGGGTTCGTACGCAACCGTTCATCTTGCTGACTATGTCGATAATACGGGTCCGAAAAAAATGCGACTCGCATGCAAGATTTTTGACAAAGAAAAGGCACCAAAGGATTTCCTAGAAAAATTTTTCCCGAGGGAACTGGAAATACTCACAAAAATTGAAAACCCGCACATAATCCAAGTACACAGTATACTACAACGAGGGCCCAGAGTATTTATTTTCATGAGGTCAATTTTGGATACATTCTAACATTTGAAACAAATTAAATTTTTGACGCTTACTTTTAGATATGCTGACAATGGAGATCTACTAGACTTTATCAAAAGAAACGGAGTCGTACCTGAACAGCAAGCCAAAATCTGGTTTCGACAAATGTCCAATGGCTTACATTATCTACACGGAAAAAATATCGCTCACAGAGATTTGAAATGTGAAAATATTTTACTCAGCAGAAAATTTAATGTGAAACTAGCCGATTTTGGATTTGCTAGATTTTGCGTGGACTCGGACAACCGTAGAATCTTGAGTCAAACTTACTGTGGATCAGCTGCCTATGCTGCACCAGAAGTAGTCAATGGTAATCCCTACAATCCCAAATTATCAGATGTATGGTCTTTGGGCATAATTCTTTTTATAATGCTGAATGCTTCAATGCCTTTTGACGATTCCAATTTAAGAAAACTGCTTAAAGACCAGATGACAAAGAACTGGGTTTTCAGATCCAGGGTCAGAGATACCTTGTCCTCGAGCTCAAAATCTTTGGTTCGTCATTTGCTTGAGCCTGATTTGACTTTAAGATTAACATTGGACAGAGTGATGCAACAAGATTGGTTGCGTATAAGAAAAGATCGCCCGTCTTCATTGATTGGTCGACTCGTACATTCGGCTCCTCATGGACAAGGACCTGGACAATCTATAGCCACTGGAGAATACCGTACAGAAAACGACTCGATCCCAGGTGATTTCAAACATCCCGCACTGAAAAAGAGCGCAATGATGATCAATATTAATGACACCGCTTCCTGAACAAGGTTTTTGGGGCTTTTTGATGGAATTTATTTTTAAATTTCCGATGTGATTTTACAACTCACAATAAAAATATTTGAAAAATTATATTTTGAGTGTATATTGAAAAAAATCATTAAGGTTCGTCGTAAAACTATTTACCTTTAAAAAAAAAAAAAATATTTTTCAAAAAAGGGTTGACTTTCGGGTTGAATATAAACTAGGCGAAGAATAATATGAATACCAATGAGCCTTGACACTATTTTATTATAGGTTAATTGTAACCATACATAGATTTCTCAAATAATCTAAGGGCGGGTATTATAAACCGGCTTTGTGAGTTAACTTGAAGGTAACTTTTTGAATTACATGTAATTCCAGAAGTTAACTTTAAGTTAACTCTCAAACTAGTTTTATAATACCCGCCCTTAATTTTCTTAATCTTAATACTAGGGCAGCAACAAAGGTGATCAGTTTCGCAATAATTATGGGTTTCCTATTATTACTCTTCCGACGTCCTCGTGATGATTTTTTGGAAGAATTTCACACGGATTTCTTTCTGTTTTTGCCAAAGATAAATGACTATGGCTGAAAACCAGAAAAAAAAACATAATGGAATAGTGATGACTGATGAACCCGAGTTGTGACTTTGCGTTGAAAAATTTTGGCAACTTCCATGAGGGCTTCTTGCTTTTTGTTGGGCTTGTCTAGATGTATTTATTGTATGCAGATTTATTGATAGATTTCAGTTTTGTTGTTTAGTGGGTTCGGAAGGTAGAACTGAGACACAGACTGAGATATTATTTAGGTCCAAAGCCTATTATTCGTGATAATGAGGAATTTGCAATTTTTTTTTCTATTCTCTTATTGAATTCTTCACATTGTAAAAAGTTACTTGCCACATAAATTTTGAATTTTCAACTAATAGTTTTCCTGCAAAAAAAATATAGAAGTTCAAAATAACTCTCGTAAAGTCAATTCGTCGCATACTTCAATTCGTCGCAAAGTCAATTTGTCGTACACGTCAATTCGTCGTAAAGTCAATTCGTCGTATATGCCAATTCGTCGTATTTCAGATATAATGTTAAAATGTATAAATTTGCACTTTTTCTATTTAATCAGACATTACCAAGCTTACCTATAATAACGACGTATTACCACAGCTTGTATTACCATATTGTCGTATACGTCAATTTCTCGTAGCGTTGATTCGACGTATACGTCAATTCGTCGTAAAGTCAATTTGTCGTATACGTCAAATAGTGGTAAACTAGTGTATACGACAATATAGGTAATTCGTCGTTATTATCGGTAAGTTTGATAAGGTCTGATTAAACAGTAAAGTGAAAGTGCAAATTTATACATTTTAACATCGTACCTGAAATACGACGAATTAACAATACGATGAATTGACGTGTTGATAGTTTGCAGTTTTAATCAGACATTATCAAACTTACCGATAATAACCCGGTTAGTTTGCAATGTAATGCCTGATTAAAATTGAAAACTAACCGGGTTATTATCGGTATAAGTTTGGTAATGTCTGAAATAACTAGACAGTGTAAATTTATACATTTCAATATTTTTACATAATACCTGAAATACGACGAATTGACGTATACGACGAATAACCTATACGACGAATTGAAGTATACGACGAAATAATGTTACGACGAATTGACTTTACGATGAATTAACGTATACGACGAATTGACGTGTACGACAAATTGACTTTACGACGAATTGACTTCACACCGAATTGGTGTATGACGAATTGGCGTACGACATATTGATTCACCACGAATTGACGATGACCCATTTCTTTTACCTATTTCTGTTAGACTTAAAACTTCAAGGTCTAGTCCAAGGTCTAGAGTCTCTAGATGACAGGATTCTAAGGATTTTTTCTATGTATTCGTTAAGATCGTTGATTTGCATGAAATGATTTTGTAAGAAAATCTTGATTATTTATTCATTATCAAAATTTGAAAATTCTCTTTGAAAACTTTTCGCATTTTTATTTAAATTGTCAATTTCTCAAATGTATCTCTTTGTTTCCTGCAAATGAACTTAAATCGTTAATTTCTCTCATAGAATTTTTTTTGTTAACTTTTATTATTTGCAGATTTTGTGTAATCGTTTCTAAGTCGACTGAGATCGCAAACCGTCAATTTTGCAAAACAAAGTAAGTGACTGTGTATGAACGTGTATATTTTTTAATTGAATAGAAAAGCGCTTTGCTTATAAGTCATCATCAGTGCTAACTAAAATTGCATGGAAAGTAGTATAAAACTTAAAATAAAGAAGATAGTTGACTTATGACTCATAAATTGAATAGGGAAGACCATCCGTAAGGACATCCAAAACATAGAAAAACATGCCTAGATACTTAAAATCTCTAATTATAATTAACATCTAATCAGGACTGGTCCAATAGCTATTATATACCTAGGCAAAGTTCAATTCATTTCTGGCGCCCCCCCCCCTTTCAAATTGTGTTGTTAAAAAGAAATACCGCAACAGTGAAAAGTATTTTTTGGCACCGATTTTGAAGTTTCTTTTACAATTTTTCATTAGTCTGGTGAAAAATGGATAGAGGACTAAATATTTATAGATGATGATCTATACTCTATTTTTTCCCAAGATAGATTTTGAGATTGTCAACTTTGAAACATAAACAATGCCGCTTATTGGTCGCAAGATGCCATTTGCACAACATAACATGCATTCTAAAACTGATGCCAACTTGCGGGGACACCTCGTTTCGCGACCAATCAGGGCCAAGCGGTATTGTTTATGTTTTTCCTTAACTTTCTCTTCATTCAATTTCCACGCTTTTCGGTTTGTTGTAACTGACAAAAACTTCATTTCTTTCAATAAGTAACAAAGACAAAACACTCATTCTCCTGGTAATGCCACCCTCCTTCAAGAATAAGAACCTAGAGAGTAAACTGACGAATTACATTTATTACTAGAACAGCTCAATTTTCCAGAAATTATTGCCATAACTGAACATTGGCTGAATGTCGATGAGCCTGTATTTGTCAAAAATTACACAACAATATCTAGGTATACTTAGAAGTACCTATATTATCTCACGGAGGTACAGTGATAATGTCTACTAATAACAACTTTTCGGCAGTGACTAAATTCGACAATTTATTAATTGAGAAATTATTTGAATTTTTTATCGTCTACAACAATATTTACGACCTCTAAGTACATTGTTTGCATTTACAGAACACCTGACGCTGACTTGGTTACATTCTTTCAAAATTTACTAAGCTTGCTTGAGTCCCTCCCTCCTAATGGTAAATTAATTTTATGTGGCGACTTAAACATAGATTTTTCCAGTGTGTGTGCTGCTCAAAAATCTCTTGACTCTATATGTATTTGCAGTGGCGCAGGCCTGTAGCCAGGTTTTGATTCCAGAGGGGGCAACCGAAAATTTAGAGGGGGCAAATCTATTTTTGTTTTTTTCAGCATTACTTAAAATCACGGACAAGGTGCGAAAACTTTACTTTCCAAAGTACATAACTGATTATGAAATATAAAAGCTTAACAAAACACAAAGAAATAATAAAAATACATAAGAGCGCTCTTGAAGGGGCGCTAATGACATTGAAATCTGTCAGTTCTATGTGGATTTTTTAAAATTCGTCTGCAAAGAGACAGAAAAACTCACATCAGAATTGGCTCAAAAGTGGCATAAACATTCTTTGATGGATTATGTACAATCCGAATATTTTGGTTTTTCGATAATTTGCGTTTTTCTCGAAATGGAAAGTGTATATCTGGACTAGGACTCTCTAACGAATAGAGCTTTTTTCTCTATTGATGTACCCTCTCTATTGATTTTCAAGAGAGAGAAGAAGATAGCAAGTACCATAGCGATAGGGATAACGATCTCTATCCATTACAGAGTCCCAGCCCTGGTTGCCTATAGTCGTTATGGATTATTTCTAAAATCTCGCAAAATATCGAAAAACCGAAATATTTGGACTGTAGATCAAAGAATGTTTATGCCAATTTTGAGCCAATTCTGATGTGAGTTTTTTTTCTCTTTGCAGACGAATTTTAAAAAATCAACCAATAAGAGCACAGAAGTAACAGATTTCAAATGTCATTAATGCCACCCATCTTAAGGTAAAATATGAACTAAACTGTGGTTTTATAAACGATCGCAGTAAATAGGCGTAAACTTTTTCAAACTAATTGGAGTTTATAAAAGCATTGATAATATTATCCGGGAAAACAGAAATTAAATCACATAATTTGCTTTGTGATTTTATGTTTTTTTTCCTATATTATATATATTTTTTTCTAGTCTACTCTAGAGTGGGCAACTTTTTCTTTCAGAGAGGGCAACGCCCATTCTGGCGCCCCTCTAGCTACGGGCCTGCAGTGGCGGCTGGTGAGAGGAAAAATTGACGGTGCACACACTCACTCAGGGGGGAAGCCCAGAGGCGCGCAAATTTTTTTGGACTGACCCAAACTAACCCAAATTTTGATCTAAAAGTTGTAAAAAAACACGCCTCAGAAAGTTTTTTCACTTATTCTCAATTCAAACGTGGGCATTTACCATTTCTACAAAATAATAAATGAAGCACAGGCGGAGTACGAGAAATTTATTAAAACAGTTTTATATAAAATAAAACATAAGGCACCATACAAATCAAATAGGAATCAAATTTATAAAAAATATCTACTGCAAACTGCACTGTCTTTCCAGGCGAAACTAATTTCTTTGCGGCAGGCGCTTCAAAGAAATATGCCGCCCTATGGCGCCAGGGACGCCGCTAAAAAATCTAACCAATAAGATATTCCTGGAGTCAACGTTGGCTGTCTATCGATAGTCAAATCAAATGAGACAGTAAAAAAAAAAAAATTCCTTCCAGTAAGTTGATCCAGATTTATCCAGACCTTATCCAGACTTGTACAGACTGATCCGGATTCTGGAAAATGATCCCCAGGTCTTTTGGGACCTTTTCCAGAATTTTCCCGACCCTTTCAAGAAATTTCCAGGCCTTTTCCAGACGTTTCCAGAGATTTCCAGACATTATCCAGACTTATCCAGAGCTTTCGAGTTTTCCAGACTCCATCCAG